CTTCTCCTTGTTCGGGAGCATTTTTTTTAAATAAAATTGAAAATTTGAATAATTTTGAATTTTCTATTGAATTGACGAAGAATACAACGCTATATCCCGAATGCCGAATTTTTTTCAAAGATTTCATAAATCAGAATGGAAAAAAAGGCCAAATAACGGAAACCTAAGATGGAGTTTTCAGCCATTATTACAGAATTTTTTGAACAGCTATCCATGATCAGTGGTGTAACGGTCTGCAGTGCCACCGATCCCTAGGGGCACATTTGGTATCTCTACCTATGGTCCAGTATTGACATCGCTCTATTGTACCCTGGGCCAAAAAGAGTTTGTTGATACGTAACTGCACAATATGTCTCTGACATCGACTGTAGGACATACACTGTATTATATTAATCCATTTGGAGTGTGGTGCTCAGCCGGCCAGGATCCCCTACATTTGTCAAAACTTTTTAAAAATGGAGATAAAATATTCAAATTCTGAGTCTGAATAAGTGACATTTCCGGAATCTAGATGTCTCATAATCATAACTTGCTTTGCGACTCCTAATCTCCTAGTATAGAATAGACTTGAGGTCCTTGATTAGACATTTGCAACGCCCGTGAGGAGAGAGAGGGTTGTAAGGAAAGGGGAGCAGCTCCCATGGGGAGAAAGTCAACAATTTTGTTGAGAAACACTGCTTTAAAAAAGTATTTTTACCTTCTGAGAGTGCTATTTCCGAGCGTCTAGAGGGCCTATTCATAAAATTTGCTCACCTCAGCTCCAACCATGAGACTGAAGTGGATGTGGACTACCTATGGCGCACCCCCACCCCTTTCAGAACTGACAAGGTCAGCAATTTTACTTTTCTATAGTTTTGCAGTTTTTTTCTACCGCTTCCTTCAACCATTTATTCTGGTTTTCTTCTTTTCTGTTGTCCTGCAAAGTGCATAGACACGAATGTTATATCCGCTATACATGTGCACAATTTACCTTGTTGTTGCACGTCATCTTCAAATAGTCTGCGGTAGCGCGTCACTTCCATTCCATTGCTTCCACATGGCAACACATCCATGTCAAATAGGTGCACAGTATGCATGTGAGCGTCCCCACAATCGCAAGCAATGTACCTTGTTAATTCCACGCCCCTTGCACCGCTCTCACAAAATATCTTTAGTTCTCTTTCGAGGAATGTCAACACCTGTAGCAAATAGAAAACTGATCGTAAATCTATTGATGTTAATGAAATGATTAATACATTTAAAAAAAACCGATTTCTTAAGTGTTTCAAGTCATTGAAGGCAGTACCTTCTTACATACTTTCGGCGATGGTTCATCTTCCTGGGTAAGCTGAGCGGCATTGAAAATATTTCGTCTGATGATTGTTGTCTGCAAAACGAAAATAAGCCTCCGTCTTAAACAATTTTCAATAATGTGTCAGACATAATATATGATAATGGTGTTGCTTATTAAAATGATAATGATGATGGCGGTGGTATTGGTACAAATTACGACGACGATGATGATGATGATAATGATGATAATAATAACGATGATGGATGATAATGATAATGATGGTTGCAATTATTAATATGTAGAAGCCTTTGTACAAAGAACAGAAGTATATTCAACAGAATTGCAAGGAATATATAACAAAACAAATACTAACATTATTTAAATTATGATTAATGTATCAATTACCTGTATTACATTTTATTCTTTAAAAAAAATTAAAATTAAAGTATCAATTACCGGTATTGCAGTTTATTGTTAAAAAAATAAGACATGCCAAATTTCGAATATAACAATGCATAATTTACCATTATGAATAAAGTTGTCATTTATATTCAAATTAATGTAAGTACCGTTAAGCAGCAGAGATAAATAATCTTAAATTGCACTAATTACCTTAAACATACGACGATGCTTGATTGAGGCTACGCTTAAAACCACGAGGTGAAGTTCATCGATACTCAACTCCACGTGCTCATAAGATAATGTAGGCTCATCGTCTTTTACTTGGAATCTCTCAATGAACTTAGTTACTCCCCGCTGGAAAAGATCATCAGGTAGATAGCGATCAAAATCATGAAAGATAGAAACTGCCCGAATCCCGTAATCCTTAGTTTGTGTGGCATCTATTCGTTTAGGCTGCAAGCGTGAAAGAACGTAGAAAAGACGTTCACCACCCTTAAAAACAGGAAACACTGTACGTCAAAAATTGTCAAAAATAGAAAAAGAACATTTTAAATAAAATTAAAGTCTGCACTATGCTGATTATATTTTGCTTTTATCAATTGATGAGATAAAGCATATCCTATTAGGACAAAGAGAAAACAGAATATATTGAAAAAAAATACCATTGTAATTTTTTTCTCACACACCAGCCCAAACTTCTGCATGAGAGATACAAAGAAGTCGAACGTTTCATCTGAAAAATTGAACTCCTTCCATAGGTGTCTTAACAGATGCTCCTCTAGGATCCCCTTGTCCAATCTCCTCCAGGCTTCTCTGTGCTTTGGTTTCTGAAATATAATAATTTTAGCTCAGAATCCTGCTATGCTTTTATAGTCTACAAAAATATATCGCTTTTGAAAGAAGGAATACCTAAATAAATGTAAAATTGTGTAAAGTTGAGCTTACCATAAACTTTGGATCAATAACGGTGATTATTGTTTTAAACATGTCAACTAATTTCATCACATCTAGAACAACAATATCCCTCAAGGCTTTGTCATCAGGAAAGTACAGAATCTCACCAAGGTCGTGTAAATACTCAAGCAGCACCCTTTGAGCATCTTGTTTGACCCCACACCGCTCAACCAAAGCAATCACCTGATTAAAAAACACACACACACAACCACAAGTTTAATAATTTTAAAACAAGTGTAAAAAGAGATACCGGAACTTAAACTGACAAAGACGGTATATTCACAGGTCAGTGACAAGTTTATTAAATTTTCACTGGAAGATAATACTTGACAGTAATTAAGTTCACTTTTGGGGTGTTCCTGTCTGTTCTTTTATACTTGTTTCTTGCTGTCTCTGTTCTTGTTTAGCATAAGTTCAATGTTTTAATGAAATGAAATAACAAAACAAGGCCTAGGCGCTTCACATTAATACCCCCTCCCTCCACTCCCTGTCATTGTATCAAGCACATAATGTTGCAGCTGTAATCAGCGCATTTTGTGTTGGAGCCTACCACCAGGTACCCAATTGTACGCCTGGGTGGACAGAGACAAACACAGTAGGCGCAAGCGAAATGCACAGCGAGAGATTGAACCGCCGACCTCAAGGTTAAGAAGCAGAAACACAACCCCAGCACCAAACCACTCTTTCTGTAAATGATCAAATGTCTACCTTTTTGGTTGGTAGATAGATATGCTTTACTTTCAACTTCTGGATTTCCTGTAGAATAAGCAACCATTTTAAAGGTAGTTTTCTAACCATCTTCTTTGCGAACTTTAATATTTGGTCCATGATGTTAGAAGCGTTGCTCCTGGCAAACGGTAAGCTGTTCTCAATAGCAAAGAAAGTAGGGAACACCATTGCTTCATAAGGTTTTCCTTCCAATTCTTTCCGAATTTTATTGAATATTTCTTCGGCCTACATAAAAATATATAAGTAGCAGCAGTAAAAGCATAAATAGCAATATCGAGAAAAATAACACATTAATACGTATTGATCTCTGTAATTCTAACGTTTGTGTAAGTTGTTCTGTATTTTTGTTGAGTTTAAATGTTTTTATCAACTAACCAATCAATCAAGTTCAAGTTTAGTTTATTGTTATATACAAAGTAAACGAAATTTGTTTTCCGAGGGTCACAATAAAAACAATGACATACATATTAAGGTGGGACGGATAAGCAATAATAAATACACTGTGTTTTAGAGAAGACAATAGTTAAGCCGTTGTTCAGTTGTATAATGAAGGATAACTTGCAGGTTGAAAGAACGAAGTACACTGTTGGAAAAACTAGAACAAGAGGACCTAATATGGTTTTGCTCAGCTATTCTTTGTGAAGGGACCACCATCCTTGTATTATGCGGTTGCAAAAAATGGAGGCAAATTCAATGACAATGTAAAACATCATATATCCAATCAGATCGATTCCGACTAAAAAATGTGACATGGTTTTGCGCTAGTCATGATCTCCAGCGGCCTGATTTAATAAACTTGCCAGTCCCTTTTCCATTATTGTTTTTTTTTCTCATTCTAGGCAGCGGCACCAACAACTAAATCGAGCATGACACGCATATTAAATTTTGTATGGCGTGCAGATAGGGCAATAAATAGTAAGTACCCAAATTTAGGACTTAGAATCTAGGCCCATTATAATCCCAACGGGATCAACATCGAGATCTCAATCAATCGCAAGGGGTTTAGACAACTCCATCCGGGCTCACCCCCTGAACCTCGGATAACTTGGGGTGTAATAATAATATAATAATAATAATAATAATAATAATAATAATATTTTAATATGCATTACCGCCGATGCTTACTTAATTTACTTTAATGGATTTTTGTATCGTAATTATAATATGTATGCCTATAATGTAGTTTAGGACAATACAACTTGGTATTAGAAGTTGCAACAGAAAAGAATTAACAATATGAATTTCCTTTAACAAAAAAACATGTTTTCGTGTCAATATTTGGCCTATTAATGTTTTATGATAATTGTTACTTTCTGTCGGATTGTTTTCTTTGTACATGACGTAGTTGTTTCATACCTTTCTTTTCTTTTCCTCTTCATTCCCTTCAAGGCTGTCTAAGTGCGTACCAATCACTAGTACTGGCGGTGAAAGTTGCCCATCATCCAATTTTGAATCTCTACTGTTGGTGTAAACTGAACGAATCCAGTACAGAATAAACTGAAGATATGTCATTCGATGTTGATACATTTCACCCTGAAATCAATAATAAAATATCATACTAAATAATATATTCTGAGTCGAAACTTGCTAAGAGATAAATGTTAAGACGTAATGCTTACGGTAGTCGGATCCCTGACTTTAGCGGGGGCGTCAAGATCATCTTCTAGGTTAAATACCACACAAACGACGGCAAAAGATACCATGAAAATCTACAAGAAAATTATTCATAATTACTTTTTATTATCGAAAACTGAATGAAATAACTAAAAAATGTTTGTAATTTAATAATAACTATAATTTTGTTTAATTTATTATTTACTATAATAACTTACTCGTTGTATCACGTGATAAATCGGTTGGCCTCCGAAGTCCCAGATGTTCATTATAAAATCGTTGCCAGATTTTTTCAAGTCACTTGTCGCATCTCTTGTGAACTTGAGTACATTCTGAACTTTACTTGCGATGTTTTCTGGGACCTCTTCCATCGATTTTGTCTCTGTCATTTCTTTAATATTTGGTTCTATTTTCGGGGTTCTGGCGTCTGTATTTATTGATGATTGCCCTTATTGAAATATCAGAATAAAAATTTTAAAAATGCATATTAAAAGCAAAGTGTAGTACAATAATGTTTTCTTTTGTATAGATAATCTATACACATAAGGTTGACTCGTGGTTAATTTCAGAATGTTTATAATGAAGTCTCCCAGTCAGTGTGAACATTTCTTTACTTGCTGGAGGTTATATTTGACCTTTCTAATAATAATTGTCGATGTAGGCCCTATATAGCGCATGATATAGCGACCTCATGCGCTGTCCCAGGTTGTTTTGGTTTTATTTTATGCAAACGCTTTTATTCCATATGCCACTATGTATAATTGTACTATGCTGCGTATTGTTTTTAAGAAGTGCCGGTAAGCCTATCCTCGCGGAGCCCTCTCTGTGAAACGATGCATAAAAAATGAAGTATAAATTAATCTTAGAAAACAGCAAACATGAATGTCTTACCCCTATTGTATTTAGTCTCTGGTTTAGCTGGTGATAACAGGCCCTTGAAATAAATAAACAAAAAGAAATAAGAAATATCCTAACTATTAAGTACTTGCAATTACATTCATTAAATTAACAAAAAAAAAAATATACATGAAACTTCACTAAATAGTTAGTGTGTAAATCTCACTTGTTCTGTTACTTCTATGTTCTCCTCATTTGCCTTTTCAAATATTTTCTTCGCTATTGAATCCGCCATTTTTGCTTCATACATGCTATTGGTGCCAGCTGTTGGGAGTAAATAAATATTATTACTAAATTATATTAAAATGATATATAATTTACTACATGATTAATTTTCATGTAGACTTGTATTTAGACTTACCTGTTGGTGAATGGTGGCCTGCATAATTTATTGACTAATTTACAAAATCTCAACTGTGCAGAGAATTGACTTGTGATAGGTACAAAAAATGATTTGGGATCCCAACCTCGATGCCGGGGTATCAATCCTCAGTCCATATGAGCCACATGGCTCGGGAAGAATTTACTTTACAAAAATGTTTACTTACATTGATCAGGTGATGTTTCCTTCCAATTCAATTCATCATGCATTTCTTGGGAAAACACCGTTGTGTTGGCAATTGCGTCCGTAATACCCTCATTTGGATCAAAACTAAAGCAAAAAGAAATTATTAATCTAAAGATATTGCTACTACAGAAAGCATAATATAGATACACATTACTGTACAGAAAGTACATATATAAATTAATATATAAATAAATGTGTAGAAATGGATTGATATTAATGAATGATACATTCATTTAAGTTTTTGATTATTGAATTTAATACAAAGAATATTTGAATTACAGGTTCCTTAAAAAAGCATCATTGAAGGCTTTAAATATTTCAACTGGTTAACTAACGTAGCGAAAGCAACCACTGAATATATTTAGCTTACGTATTCCTTAAAAATGACTTGATAGTAGACGTCTTCCCGACTCTCTCGAGGCCCATGAAAACTGTCCTTCCTTGATTAACCTCTGCTTCTCCCTCAGCTAGAGCATCATTAAATGCTTCCACTGCTTCGTGCCCACGCGCCAAGATTTCCATTGGAACATTCCCCGCTTTAAGTATAAATATTTCTGATTTACACATTGAATTACCTCATGAAACTTGTTAGATATGAAAAAAAAATTGATAATATTATTGAGGCCTGCAATGTCGTTATTTACTAGAAAGGTCTTTAACCTATTCGTTCATCTGTAGAATACACCTTTTTCATTGCTTTAATTGTGATAGTTGCATTTCTTTCCCCATAACAATATTCTTATCAATGGTGCAACGATTACGTTGATCATACCCATTTGTGATTACGGACAGCAGTTTAACCCAGATAAAAGCAACTTGCAAAACAGAAAAAAAAAGGATTAAAACTTATTTATTCCAAAAAGAGGAGGAATAAATTACGATGGGGAACAAAAAAATATAGGCCTAGAGTATTAGTTTTATTTTCATCATTGAATAAATGTTTTACAGTATTATATTCAATGATACACTGATTGATATTGCTATCATTCTGTGGGAATAAAGCATAAAAAACGCTGTAAAACATCACAAAGCGCAACCAACAGCCCCCTGGATCACTAATCAAAATACTGTAAATAATACCACTTAAAGATTAGGTTTCTTATTTACTGTGTTTAAACGTTAAGTACTGTATGATACACATAAATGACACATAAAAAATGAATGTACATTGGGTGTTTCATGAATTTCATACTAAATATACAGTAAAGCCGTGTTACGGTATAGAACAATATAAAGTAAATGACAGCAAAATTATTCTCTAGCTTTCGTCCACACAATGGACTTCACAGTCTCCTGATGAAGTCCATTGTGTGGACGAAAGCTAGAGAATAAAGTATATATTGTTAGTCTCAAAAGTGCTGCTGTCATTTACTTTATATTGTTCTATACTAAATATACACAATGCGAAAATATACTATCAATTTCAAAATGATTTATACAAAACAAACACAAATAAATATGAAATATGTTGGTATGAACAGCTCACTTTGTAAGAGACGCATGAGCATTTTTTTCTGTTCTTTTCTGTTTCTAGAATCGTACTTCCTAAATGTGTTGTGCACATACATGTCAGCTGGAGTTTGACCATTCTGCAACGACAGTCACATATCATACCTCATGAAATTAATTAATATTAATCAAGAAATACAATTACATTAAAGCTTCAACAAATGTTACACAAAAAAAAACAAACAACTGAATTGAATAAATTTACATATCAATTTAATTAATCTTTAATTCTACATTTGCATCTTGTAGAGATTCATGTTAACAATAAAACGCTGAAGAAAATCAATGGTTGTTACAACGATCGTGAATAAACATTTTGCCTGAGTGTATAGGCCGAAATCCTATTATCATTAGTTGCCACTACCATATCGACATTATGGTTGCCATCAATCATTTTAGTATGCTCCTTATCACCATCATTATTATCAAAATATTAATAATAATAATAATAATAATAATAGGCCTAATAATAATAGGCCTAATAATAATACTAATAATAATAATAATAATAATAATAATAATAATAATAATAATAATAATAATAATCTTCGTCATTTATCTACTTTACCCTATTTTTTAACTTGGCATTTCCTCCATACGTTAATAAATAACGTGTTGCATCTGTGTGATCTCGGTATGAATGGTCAGCTTGTAACAACTTGTGAAGTGGAGTATTGCCGTCCTGTAACACAATTGAAAACAGTGTTAATCAGTGAGAGCTCATAACCATACAAATAATTGAAAACATAATGTGAATAATAATCCAGACACAGTCAACACCTCTGTAAACAAGAAAAATGATGCAATCTAAAACATTACAGTTAAAATTTAGGTAAATATAACCAACTTGTACTTCGTATAAAATACATTTTTCATTACAATTTTCATTCAATACAATAATTTATTTTTTATCATGTTATACTAAAAATGTCCTTTATGATGATTATTCCATTCTATTCAATTTATTTTATTGCTGCATTTGTCATCATAGGAAATTAGGCCAAATAAAGAAAGTTATTGTGTTGGCTAAAGCCAACCGAACCAAAATGTTCGAAAATTGAGGGTCATCATTTTATTTTATTATTAATAAAAAGGGCTAAAAAGGGTGGAATAAGCTTATCTTGCAACGGTAGGCGATGCGACAGTGTTATGCGATTATTTTGCTCTTCAATATAGATTTTAAAATCGTGTTTGTTGTATTTTTAATATATTTTCTACTTTTTAGGCATAAACACATTATCGGTCAAAAAAAAAAAATCCTACCGAACTACCCATTTTTTTTTAAAGATTTTGCCAAAACGTGGCCAACACATGAATTTTTTTAATGCCATTATCACACAGCATTTATGCTACATGGAGAAATGCATTGATAATAATGCTACTACTATAGATGATAACACGAATACTAAGAGATGCGTTTACTTATAAATCATATAATACCAAAATACTGATATATTGGAGAGAATTTAAAAAAAAATGACAATGGCAGTAACAACAGTAATGATAATAATAATGAAAAAACAAACTTCATTTTTAATAAAGTTTATTTGGTCAATAATGCATAGGGGCCTACTGTATTACAATTAAAATAATAAAATTTATGCTCGTATAATGTGTTTGTATGCATAGTTTAACCTTCGTATATTATAATATAAAACTACACTGATTGTTTATATGGTAAGGTAATCACTCTCTACTGTACTGAAATACTCAATAAACAAACAGGGCCGTAGCCAAAGAAATAGTGGTCGGGTTGCAAGCGAAGCAAGCAAATGAGGCTGGAGGCCCGGGGGCTGCGAAGGGCCCACGTGGGGCATTCCAGTGGCCTATGGACCAGGAAAATTATTCTATTTTGACAATTGACAGACCAATTTACATGATGTTCTGTAATAGTACCTTTAAAAATATTTTATATAAAAATATGTTTTAAACTATTATTAGAGCTATGATGAAGCTAAACAATAATAACATTTTGAATTCAAAACAGACAGGTTTATTCAGAAGAAAAATTGTTAATTCTTGTTATTTTAGTATTTTGCTTTTTGACAATGAAAAAAATCTAAGATTCAATCAATGAACGAAAAATAATATTGCTAATTCTATGGTACACTTCAATCAATATCGATTTAATAGAGGTGCATTACAAAGCATACCTGCTGTATATGTATTAATAATGTTGCATACTAGAACTATCATGAATAAATATACGGAAGGCATGGTTTTTTTTTTCTTGTTTCTTGTTAGTTGACCAGGCAATTTAGTGAAGAAATGAACAGAAAGTCATAGGCAAGTGTACAATAAAAGGGAAATATTATAAAATGGAATATTATATAAACTAACATTAAAAGTTTACCCTAAATTTCAGACTTGTGGTTCCTGAATTATGTCAAAGAGGTAGTAGGTTTCAAGAGTCTAATAAATACCGTAGTAAACATACAGTGCCTTTCTTCTTATTCAAATCCTAATAAATTAACTAAAGCTTGTAAAAAAAGTGGCCAGGTTGAAACCTTGCTGTATTTTTTTAACTGTTTTCTGTACAGCCTTTTTAATTGTTCATGCTTTGTCTCGCGTAAACATATACTTAGGCTGGACTACATAGCCCGGCCTAGCCTAGGCCTACATACATATGTAGAAATAGGCCTATGTAATGCAAAATGTAATCATCATATTGTGTGTACAATACTAATAGAAACAAAATCAAGTCCAAAAATGGCTGAAAAAAGCTGATTTTCCAAAATTATAAACACGCTTTTTACTTATTATGAGTGATTCAGAAACATTCATTCGCTTGGCTATCACAACCAACATGGACGCCCTATTTCAAACAAGAAATTTTGATTCAGAATCATTAATTTGCTTGGCTTTCACTCAACAGTTAAAACCACACAATAAAGCAATTGAACATTAATAAAAGTAATAAATACACAGTATTTTACAACAGTATTTTACAACCATAATTATATTTAATATTAAATATTTAGTTATAATTTTATGAGTAATTTATTAATTACATAATGACGATTTGTCATTCAGTGTTTACAATGAATAATGTGTTGTTTCCTATACGTACCCTGTCTTGCCTATTTACATTGCGTGCAGAAATCCTGAGTGCTTCTCTCAGTTGCTCAGCGTAGCCGAATGCCACAATGTAATGTAGAATACAATCACGAACGCCCTGCACAATGAACAAGGAATATGAAAACAGAGAATATACAACACATCATCTCTTTAAAAAAATATATTTTAGGTCATTATACTTTTTATCGATTTTTTCTATAAAAGTGTAAGATTTATATTCAGTGCACATTGACAACTCGAACGAGTCTAAACATGAATGTGAATTTTCTATTTAAAGCTGTTTTTCAGCAAATTTTATTGGTTCGTGGGCGATTCAGAATCATTCATTTGTTTGGATTTCAATCAACATGGACGCCCTATGTTTTGTACAAGTATAAAATCACCACCTCCTAAAAAATATTTTTTTAGTTTATGTATTTTTTTTCGAATTTCTTATTGAAAGTTTATTTACTATAATCAGTGATCAATACAGATCAAAACAAGACCAAACATGACCATGATTGTTTTATGTAAAACTGATTTTTCAGTAATTTTCAACACCTTTATTTTGGTTGTGAGCTGCTTCTCTTCCTCATTCAAGGCGCAATGACTTGATATTTGCACGACCACCGTGCGGGAAATTTCAACAATAAACAATCAACATTGATCGTAAAATACAATAAAATATCATATTTATAGTGTGGATGATGATTAAATTATGTTTTAAATGTAATAAGTTGTTGTTGTTAGGTAAGAATTGATGTAGAGTGGTGTATGGTATGTTGTGCATAGATGCTGTGTTGTTGTATTTTGTGTGTTGATGTCGTAATTTTAATGATACATAATTCTACTCACCGGATGCACGTAGTCCACGGCTTCTGCCGTCGCTGATTTTAAACTCTCACTGATGACATCACGTGGTGCTCTGTGCAACACAATGTGATATAATAACGGGAAGGCGCCCTACGAAAACAACAAAATACGATGATAACAAAACACATTCAACTATCACACATACACAAAA